GTGGCACATGCCTCATGCTGCAATCCCTGAAGTTGGCCTTCATCGTGGCTCCCAAGCACTTTGCGCTGATAATGACTTTGTCGAATTGCCTGGTGGACTCCTCCTCGGTAATCCCGCTTGGGCTCTACCGCTTCCACGTGGCGGGCATGTCCCGCGCTGGCATTTTCACAGGCTATGCCTTGCTTTGCCTGGTGTCAAGCGCATTTTTGGCTTTCAGCTGGTGCGGAAGACCGGGCCGCAGGCTGCACAGGACAAACATGGAAGAACTGCAATCCGCCAAACCTGGGGCTTGTGCGGAGCACCCCAGACTTCATGGATTGACACTCAAGCAACAGCTCTCTACCTTTGAGTTTGCCGTTGCCGTCACCTTTATGATGACGCAGGTCTTCCGTAGCAATGCTTTTTTGGGAGTCATCAAGGACTTGTTGCAACAGCTCGGGGATGGAGACATGGACAATTTTTACACTCAACTCCTCACTCTACTTCTTCCAGCTTCAACACTTTTCATTCCGCTTTTCAACTTGTGCATGTCAAGAGGAGGCTTTGCCATTACTTTCCTGGTTGTTCATTTGCTCGGTGTTGCCTGGAATGTCTGCATGCTTATACCAAGTCTTCAGCTTCAATCATTGGGATTTGCAGCCTTCACCAACTACAGAGGTCTATTGTTCGCTTCGATATTTACCTTTGTTGGCCATACTTTTGGCAATCGGACCTTTGGCCGCATCAACGCCCTCATGTGGCTGCTCGCGGCAGGCCCTTCTTTCCTGATTTGGCCGTGCGCGGAAGTCTCAAAGATGCTCAACGGGGATCTTATGCTCATGAATTGGTTCATGCTGATCCTGTGCGTGCCCTGCCTTCTGATGACGTTTTTCTTGGCAAAGCACCTTCGCAACTACCCATCAGGAGACATTTGGCGCAAGATTTCTGAAGCATCTCCAAGTGCAGCCAGGTCTCCACGCGCAGCCATTGGGCGCGGTGAGGCTGAGGCATTGCAGGATGCTGGCTTCGTGAGTTTCTGAAGTCTACTAGGTTGAGTGCAGACGCCGCTTCGCACAGCCGTGCAACGACACGTAATTCGTAATTAATGAGCCATTAATTCGCTATTGATGTCGCTTTAGCTTGGCTAGGCACTTGGCTTGTCAACTAAAGGCACTACATTTGACCACGTGTTGCCGGAGGCAGCACGATGCGAGCGAAAACAGCTATGGCCCTGCATGATATTCAGAAGCCATGGATTTGATGGTGAGTGGCATGGATTTGATGGCAAGTTTGGCTCAAGAAGGCCAACGACCTGAGCTCTGGGTCATGTCTTCGTGCCTCGCATTTTGGTGCTCAGACTTGCTAGAGGTCTTTGACGACGCGGACTTGCGTCTCATTAGTGACGATCTCTTCGCCTCTGACGACCTCTTTGTCTCTGACGATGAGGACAAATCCTTGGTGCGCGTTGGGTTCTTTGAATGCCCGAAATGCTGTCAGTGGGGAGTTCGCAGTAAAGCCTAAATGCCTGTAAGAAATTGTGACAGTTTTCGCTCAAATATCAAATGCTGCCAATGATGACAAGTTGCGACAGGACCAGGGCTTGTCTCTACTGCACCGAGTTCCGTGTGACGCACATGAATATGACCTCCTGCAGCAGGACGATTATGAGCCGCGGGCACTGCCTGAGGTGCCTGAAGAGGTGAGCCGCAAGGAACAGGAACTGATCACCAGGCAGTTGGCGCACATTGATGCACGGATCCGGCGAGGAGGCACGCAGCAGCTTAAGAGCAAAGCCCGTAGAAAACTCTGACCTTTTGGCCTGGATAATTTTGGTTGTCAGCGTCGTGTCTTACAGTAAGGTTTGCCTTATGAGAGCCCCCCCCACACGGGAGTTTTTCCTCGATAGCGCTTCATGGACCCTTGCCCGTGTCGTTTTGGGAACTAGCACCAATCGCATGCCCACATGATCGAATCAGCTTTGCAACGCTTAGCCCAGAGGCGATGAGGACATCATCCTCCACTACGTGAAGGTGGGCAGCATAGATATTGACTCGGAGAGATTGAGGCGAAAGCGTGTATGCCCTCTTATTTGTACATTTGCATGTGTGTGTAGGCCGTGACATGTTGCTATCTTTGCATGCATTCAATTCAAGCACGTGCTAATGCAAAGAAATGCGGGAGTGCATTTGCAACGAAACGCCCAGTGCAGCCTCAGCAACGGGCAATGCATGCGCACAGCCCCTGGACCCGCGGTGTGGCCAATGGGTGGGTGTTCCTGGTTGTTAGGTGGACTAGTGGAGAGTCTTTGCGGTCTTGGGGATTGCTTTGAAAAGGGGGACAAATCAAAGCAAAACAAAACATACATGGCATTCCATGAACTTACATTCCAGCAGCTTGATGGTGACATGAACACGAGTTTTCCCCAATACTGAAGCATATCCATACCATTCCACAACTGCAAGGGCAATCAATACTCAACAGGGGTTTTGATGAAATTATTGGGGCCTTAACCAACCTCCTTGTACTTTTGTGAAACAGGGTGGCCTTGCACAATGAAAGGCTGCACACATGGTCTGTCTCGCGGGCACTTACAGCGCTAGTTATGGCCTCTAGGTGCTTGCAAGTCAAATGTTGACGCCTGCAACCATGAGCAGATTTTGCTGGGAGCGGTCCCACACGACTGTTTTGAGTTGCCATATGATTGACACACTTGGTTTGTAAGCCACCATCGAAGAGGGCTTAAATAACGCAGGCCGGGGGGCTGTGTTTCTGCACCAAGGCAAAACAACTACTAGAAAAAGAACGTGAGAAGAAAAAAAAACAAAAACACCAAAGCTGCAGACACCCAACCCCCTCGCATGAGACCTGACACCTGCGACTTGCGGTTTGCAATTGTTTTTTTTGGGTTGTCTCGATGCTGATTTAGATTTCTGGGGTTGGGGATATCAAAAACCGCAAAACCTCGAGAGCACCAAAAAGACCACACACACAAAAAAATGCAGAGCCCGACCCCGTCACATGAGACCTGATACCAAAGACTTGGGGACTGCATTCCTCGTAAGTTCTTGTTTTTGTCTTTGGCTGCGACTTCCTTGCCTTTGTCAGACAAGAGTCTTTCAGGCTAAAACTAGGTCACGCCGTCGATAAGGACCTAACGCTTTTCGGACATACTGCTGCGACGCATCCATGAAGACGAAGGGGGCCGCGACGAAGAGCCACATATGGTGTGCAGCCACGTGAGGGCAGTGGTGGCAATCCAGGCAAACGCTCCCACTTGCTTAAAGAACGAAGGCCCATCAGCCCCAAGCAAAACGGGCATACTTCTCATCGAAGGCATTCTTGGAAGAGACTTCTTGATGTTGGACTCACGCACGTGGTCTGCAGCAAGGACAATTTATAGCAAAGAAGCATCACAGGCGTAAAAGCATGGCTCCTGCCATGAAGGAAGCAGGATGCTAATTGCGCGCTTGCAGCCAGAGCTTTCTCAGGAATTCCTGACCAGCCAGACTGCTCGGAGTGTCCTGGCCGGCCGCCTCTCTGTGTTTGTAGGTGCGCAATGTGTGTTTGTGTGTCCGTGTGTCTGTGTGTGTTTGTGTGTGTGTCCGTGTGTCTGTGTGTGTTTGTGTGTCTGTGTGTGTCTGTGTGCTTGTGGGCATGCGCCTGGGATCCTGGCCGATTGCCTGTATGCACATGGTGTGTTTGTGTACCCAGTGGTGGTTTCAGCAAGAGGTCACGCAACCACTACCCCACTCCGCCCGCCGAAACATATCAATGCAGCAAGTTGTCGAAACCGAGCGCAACGCTGAGGCTGCTTGTTGCAGGCGTGAGCTTAAAACTAGTCAAACCACCCAACACATGTAACTGTATATAGATATCTACACATGTGTGTATATGACTTGTGCTTGGGCCCGGCAATGGGCGCCAGGTTCGGGAAGAGCTTCGTCAGCAGCTGGATACGTGCAGGGGACTGGATACCTACGAGTCAGGTGACAAGTCACCGTCAAACTTGTCGAGAGCAGAAGCTTGGCTGCTTAGCCTGCCCGGCTTTGCATGTGTCGCAATGACTGTTATTTGATAGCAAGTGCCAGGCTCAAGATGTTGTCTTGGCTTTGTTCTATGCGACACCTTCACTTCTTGTACACAGACAGCATGCAATCCGCAACTGTTGCGCTTTGCCTCATGGGTGCTGCGCGACCCAGTCGACCTGCGACACGGACCTAGCGGAGACTGGACGCAAGGTCATATAGAGGTGGGCGTCGGGAGTCGGTTGGTTTTCAGTCCCGTCGTTGTTGTAGAGGTGGCTCGTGGTTTACAAGTTCCATAGTTTCGATCTTTGACAGGTTCTCGTTGAAGTCAACTTTCCAGGCGGTTACCAAGGATGCTTTCAAACAAATGATGTAGTTCATAACATGCGTTGGGTGATGCTTGTGCTGCTGTAGCGCGAACTCTGACAGCGGCATGCAAGTGGGCGCAGGCACTTTTGCTGTTCCTTTTCGTCCGCTCGCCTGAGATTTGCCCTTGCTTAAGTAGCATGAGGGCGGACCTGGTACCATGAAATATTTTCAAGACCTTGGAAGCTCAACTCCGTATGTTGGGGTTTATGTTTGAGGTTTATGTTTGGGAAGGTGTGCAGGTGTGCAGGTGTGCAGGGCAGGTGTGCAGGTCTTATGATATAACGGTTGCCTGGCAATCTTCGATTTGCAGAATGTGCTTGTTTCTGGCCAAGCTTTGCCAGGACCCCTGAACTTGATGCTGGGGTTAGCGCACTTGAGCTGCATTTAACGGTTGGTTTTGCCGACACCATTTCTTCAGAGCAGCAAGGATTTGAGAAGATTTCGGTCAGCGCCACATCCACAGCTAGACCAAAGCAATTGTTTCCCACACTCAGCGCAGCAAGTGCAACTTGGGAGCCCCAGTCCAAATCATGCGGGCATGCGCATCAGAGTTTGGAAGCACGCAGGGTTGAGCTTCTCCTTCACCAAGTGGTGTCCATAGTTTTCTGGTGGCCGTTTGAAGGCGCGACAGCCCGACAAACATGTCGAAAAAGCACAGGAAGATGAGACACAAGCATAATTCGCAAACGCATAATTCGCAAACAGTGTGTCTACACTAAGGGTTCGTATTCTTGTGAAATGCAAAACACACACATACGAAACCCTCAGGAACGGTAGGGTCACAAAAAAGGGATGCCTGCTATCCGACGCCCTTTTCCAATACAAGAGGCTTCGCAACTTGTTCATACAGATGTGCGAACTGACGCCCTGAAGGGGTGCCGTGTTAAAACGTCACGGGCCGGTAGCGGCAAGTGATTGGCAATATCTGCGCAATGCAGACCACGGGGA